CTGTCGACTTCGGAGTCGGTGTTTCGGGACTGTCTGCTCGAGCAGCCTTTGCGCCCCACCTCCCCGCGGCACCTGTGGGCTGGCCGAACGAATGGACTCACTTTTGTACTTGTGCCAAAACGGTTTCTCCTCTGCCCACAGGTTCACCTTGGCCGGGGTAGCCCACCACCTGCCCTCCGCCCCTATAGGCCGGCATAACTTGGCAGAAATGTTCAAAAGAGGCGATAGTTGATGTTGGCGTATCGTTTAGAATACTACTTTCATTTTATATAAGTAGGCTGATCGTTTGCTTCATTTCACTGCTGGTAATATCATTGAAATAATCAGAAATTGCTGAAAAAGAATTTGGTAAGCCTAGGCTACTATAAGATGTGAATTGGTTGAGGCCTGACTTTCATTGAATGTCGCATTCGTCTCGTCACCGACTGGCAACATTTGGCCGAGATGGAAAATGTGGCCAAACCTCTTCCAACCTGCGTGGTATTCCTTTTTGGAAGGAAAAGCTTCCTGCAACCCATTGACATCATCATGCCTACTCCTGTGGTGGCTGCCAAAACCCAAAGATCAGTTCTAAGACTACCTTGAATAACGTTGCTAAGTATGTTATTATTCGAGCCATAGCGATAGTGACTAGTGCTAATTAGTGTAATGAGATGTATTCACCCTATTTCGTCTAAAGTGATGAAGGACTGGTAGTAGAATTTTCCCACAATCATATGAGTAGAGCTGACATTTCCATTCAATTTCACATAGCCTTGCTTTACCAAAAGTTGTTCTCATCCATCGGTCATCCGACCATTTAGTCAAAAATAGACAGACTGAGACATTTTCCCATGTCCTAATTCTCAGTCATGCTTTCTGTCAAAAAAGATGGGCGAATTAGTAAAAAAGTGGGGCATAAAAACAGTGTTCAAAGAAAGCTTCACACTTTCTTCTGTTATGCCATCTTTTAGAGAGAAATATGACCCATTATCGAGATCCGGCTGCTACAATGTTATGATGGTGAGACATACCGACCCACCAAAAAGAATATGATATAGCAAAGAGGCCTGACCTTCCTTGAAATTCACTTATGCCGTGTGACTCGAGGGTACTCGTGGCAGTGTAGCCGATTGGTTAGCGTGTCAAGCTACCGTCCTGCACTGTCGCGGTTCGAA